GAAGTTAGACTTAAAAAACTCCATGCTTTTTGCCAAAAAAAACTGCAGTTGTTCTGGGTGTCTCAAGTCGAACAAGGCAACCTCTGAAACTACAGGGTTCAGAAATGTGGAAGGAAGCTGAGAAAATATTCCGAGGTCGAGCAATTGTTGGCCAAATGGATGAGGGGACCGTGACATAACAAAAAACGATCAATATGCCTTGCAATTCTCAAATACAAACTCGAACTTTCTTGAGTGATTTCAAGTTGTAATCAACAACAGTTACGGAATATTGCTCAAGCCAAGTTTTCTCCCGAAATATAACATTGGAATAGTAATAAACTTACTTCTGTAACTTCATATCCCCGTGCACATAATCTCTAGTGTGAAAGTAGTTTATAGCATCAGACAATTGATACAACCACGATATAGCATGGTCAATTTTATACTCTATCGATCTTTTCGATATCACTAAATGCAATTACATGATCAGAAAGAAACAGAACAGGATTGTCGAATATGCAGTCAAATTTTCAGATACAACAACATTCTTCTTAGGTGATTTTTCGGGTTACTGTATCTACTCAGTCATTACACTCACTGTAGATGAAGAGGCGTGTCAGCCAGTATGAGTGTGCCAGCCCTAAACCTGTTTCTGCCGGTTGCTTAAGCTGGTAAGCGACAACAAGTGGTAGAAAACGAGTGATACGAACGATATGATACAGACTGATCACTTTCGCTTCAGCAACGGCTGGAGAAGGGTTTGGCATCACGCCAAACTCATACTGTTTGACACGCCCCTTCGTCCGCAGCGAACGAGACTCATATGCAGTTTCTCAGTAACATCTCCAAGCCATGCGGCGAATCTTGGCAAAGTTGGGCTACATATTGTCAGGCGTTGACTTTTAGAATAGATCATGCCTAGACTAACAACGCAAGGCCTTCTAGCGTAAGTTTATTGATAGCAGATATCGGAGTATGGTGCTGTCCCGGAGTCTCATTTCTTATCTGAGTGTGTAATAACAATGTGAAACTCCAAAAGTTTATTCCAAAAAACTCAAAAGACAGTGAAAGTCTCAAAAGTTTTTATAATATATCTTAACTTGCAATATTTCGGTGCGTAGCACCTTCGTCAGGCCTGAAAATATTTAGCTTGTTTTGTTGGTTATACCTTCTACAAAGTGCAACCCGCACGGACCCCACCCCCACCAAGCCACTTACCAGTTGTCCCGAAATAAATGACCAACCCACCCCAACCAACCATGCCCTTAAGCGGTGGAGATGCTTGTGGCGCGCACGTATCACATTGATCTACCTTGCATGATGTACGGAAACAGGGCTTGGGCAGGCTCGGGCTCCTGTATGTTGTATTCTTCTGGGGGGGGGGCGACAGCCGTTTTCATTGGGGTCCGCGCTAGACTGTCTGCGGGCAGAGGCCTGCCAATATTTTCTGGCTTTATTGTGTTCTCCAGCTGGAGGCGGTGGGCGCAGCATGCTGTGAGCGGGCTTAATGACGGGGGGGGGCTTGGTGAACATGTTTCACCAGTCTATGCGCTGGAGAGACAGTGGCTATTGGGGTACGAAACGGTTGATTGTCCCAGGCGGCTCTCCGGTGTTCGTTCGGATCCTTTTATATCGAGGGGCCGGTCTGACTTAAGCAATATACCTGAAAGAGGGCAAAACGCATTGCTTTTGAATGCGAGTGGCCGTCGCGCTGAACGGTAAGGTCTGTCATTAACAATCTAAATGCCGCATGTCTATAAATTAGTCGATTGCCGGATGGAAAGAGAACTTAGACTGTAAGCTATTATAAACCGGGCATTATTAGTAATAATAAATAAGCAATCTGGTATTAACCTATTATCCCTGCAAGATAGATCGACTAGCAGTTCTCGGACTCCATGTTGCTGGAGGAGAATGCTAGGGTGATCTATTTTCTTGAGGAACCATGCCTGGCGCTCTTTGGTTAGGCATTGACATAACAGCGGGCGGAGGGCCAGTTTCCTAGTGGGCGTTTCATCTATTGTTTCCTCCCGCCCTGCCTTCCGGCCCCCCGCCGCACACTTCAATAATGCATCTACGTCAACATCTGAATCTCTCAAAGGATCATTGAAACCTAAGCGCAGGGCGATCGCCTACGTCGGGCAACTGGCTAATTGTCCGTATTTACTCGCAAATTAATGTCAGATTATTACGTAATATTCGGGCGAAGGTGGCGTGCTAGCAAGCGGCACGCCTACAGCCCGCGCCGCCCGAGGGTCAAATCCCGGATCAGCTCTCGCCCAGGCCAGCCACCGGCTGCCCGCGCAGGTAAAGGCCACATTCAATTCAACAAGCCACTACGATTTTGAATGAAAGTGGAATGCGTGCCGCAGCCCAAAAAAGGTATTGTTCAAAGCAAAGACTTTATGCGTTCATTTTTTATTGGTGTGAGTCGTTTCCAAATCGACTACCTAGTCTGTTGCCACCTTTGCGTGCTTTGTATGTTTACTATTTGAAAAGTGCACAGAGTTCTTCGAAAAGAAAGGTGATGTCAAGACGTATATTACTCACAGTAAGCAAGGTTGCAATCCATCAATTCCATTGCAACACCCATTCCTTTCTTCGGGCAATCATAAAATCCAAAAATCTTTATACAGTTCGGGTGCGAAATATGAGTGAGGATAACTTTCGCTTCCCGTATTAAGCTTTGCGCATGCGAAGAGTCATTACCGTACTTTATGGCGATATTTCTGGAAACAATTACGTGCACTCATGCTAAATTTTTATGCGAAAGAAACCTCATAGAAAAGCAAAAGGTGAAACGATATAAAATACTAAAACCAAGATTAATCAGTAATGCGAAAGCCAGAAGTGAAATACTTACTCCCACAAAGAATCGGGCGTAGGACGGAAACGACATTTAATTACGTAGCCATATGTACCTTCTCCTAGCTTTGTGCTGTTGAGATCATCGATCTGGCTGTAAATGTGATATGATCAAAACACCTTTTTCACAAGGAAAGGAACGAATTGGAATTTTAACGTTGAATCTTAAGATGCAACAAGGGATCACACACTTTGCTGTTGCCGGAAAAGAAAGGTGTAACTGAAGAAAGTAGTGAGTAGGCAGCGTTCATACTCCACAGACGATTGGCGGAAAAGTAGAAGTACGTAGAATTTGGGAAAGAATGCGCGAATCGGCCGAATGCACGATAGAATCCTCTCACTAGAGAAATGCGCATCCTCAGCATTGTTGCTTTTCCGAAATCGCGAATTCTTCCACCGAGATGACAGCCTTATCCGCTGTGGATGCTGGGGCGTGTCAGGAGAGGGCATGCGTTGGCTGCCTGAAGACCACATATCGCCTGGTGCATGGTGGGGGGCGGCCGGCGCTGTACGCTTCTCTCTGGGGGAGGTGGGCGGGTCGTTATTTCCGTGCGTTGGCATGAGTGGGCAGGGTCCGAGGGCAGGGTCATTGTTGTGCCTTTGGGAGAATACATTTGTTAATTGTTATGTTATGGTTACTTTGTTGTAAATTTACCTGTTATTGTTGTTATCTGTTGAAGTTATGAAGTTTTTCTTGAAGCTCTTGATCGATATGCAACGCGGATGCTCGACCGATCGACGCCTAGTTTCCCGCCGAATGTGTGACGTCAGCACTTCGAATGCTCGACCAATAGCGAGCACTTCCGGCTCCGCCCCTCAAGCCACGTATATAAGGGCCGACTAGTGTGAAGAAGATCAGTCTAATCCGAGTGTGAGCTAGAGAGTAGTGCCTTCGGACACTACTCTGGTTCGAATAAACACTTGCATCAAACGGTTATCAGTTCGCCTTCAACCCACGGGGCCGAGGTGGCACCCGTGACTTGGGGGCCGAACCAAACCGAATCGATATCGATTCGGGTGTCCGCCTGCTAGGCCGCTAAAACCGGCTAAGGCGCGAGTCCTGCCGCTGATAGGCAGTGTACCTCCTGACTGTAAACAGGGACCCGTCACGTGGTAATCCGTGTCGGGGCCTGTCATCGTTGGTCGGGGAGTGCGTACTGCCTG